TTTTCCTGTGTCCTCGAAAGTTTCTTGAAATCCTCATTTTCAATGATAACAGGCCTGTCTGAATGTGTGGGTAATTTATGTAGCAGGCCCCTGTTGAAGATGTACCTTCTACCCAGGTGTACACATTCCTTCAATTGTCTTTTTTTGGTCTAGGATAGGTTAAGTGGCATTACTGACTCAAAAGGATGAGCAGTTTTAAGGCTCCTGGTATGAGTCTTTTTCTAGAAAGGTAGTAATAGCAGACAGAGACAAAATCTAAAATCGGTTCCAGGCTCTGAGCCTTCAGCACAGAGCCTGATTTGGGGCTCAAACCTGGGAATGGTGCCATCATGACTTGAATCAAAGTTGGATGCCCAACCACCGCAGCCACCCAGGTGCCCCAGAAAACCCTTATTTTAATACTCCTTTGATTATCGAGGTTGCACATATTTTCTGGATATTCATGTTTTTTTGTGGATTGGCAACTTCTGTTCCTTGCCCATCCCCCCTGAGGTGTTTTCTTTTAATAGAAACTTAACCTGTGTTCCAGTTTTGCAGCAGTACATTATCTCGGTGTTCAATTTTAACTTGGTTCTAAAAATCCTGATGTTATATTTTTCATATGGCCAGATCTGTTATTTTTTTGCTGATTATTCTCAGTTCTTCTCCACTAAAATGGATATTCACCTCTTAAGTTTTTAAAGAGCCCCTTTTTTTTTTAACCGTTAAATCTTTAACCCACTTGGAATTGTCCTATATGATGCATTAATACGCTTTCTAATGTGGCATGGTCCTTGGATTCCTGGCCAAGCCATATTTTCTCTTCACGCTACTTCTGGATTTGATTTGTGGGTGTTTTATTTCAGATCTGGAGTCACAACTGATACTAATCTGTCCTGAACCTTTTTAAGCTGTCCCAGTTTGGGTTTGGTATCAGGATTATGCTAGCCTTGCTCACTTTACAAATGGAGTGTATCTGCTGGAGACCTACTGTTTGCTTTTTTGCAGCTGGCTGTCAGGTTCTATTATTCCAGTCTAACCAATGGCAAGACAGATTTTTACCTCCTAAGTCTAAGGTCATTTTTATTTTCTGCATTCAATGACTGTGGCCTGAGTGAGTTTTAATTCTTAAAACCCACTGAATTTTTTAGTGGCCTAATTCACATTCCCTTTGGGTATTTGAAAAGAATTTGTATTTGCGGTGAAGTACAAAGTTGGATCTCTTAAATGGGCTTTATCAACTCTTGTTCCTTACTTTGAGTCTACTGTTAACTTGTGAGGCAGATATACTGAGGATCCACAAGTCCCTACTCTTCCTCACCCACAATAATTGTACTTACTTCTGTTGTAGGAACATTAATTCTGAATGGATTTCCCTCTTCTCATTGGCTGCTGGAGAGCTCCCGGCCAGTTTTGCAATTCCTTCCAGCAAGGGCTGGTTGGCGTGCTTTTGTGTTTGTTGAGTTGGGGATTCATCTGTAATGCCCTCTTCTCCCCCCACCCACCTTAGTTTTACTTTCTGCTTCTATTCCTCCTCTAAATTTTATCCTATTTTAGTACTTGTGTGCAAGACCCCCTAAATCATTATATTAATGAAGCTGGGTCTAAATAGGTTACTCAGTATGTTATAAATCTCATTAAATCACCTCTAAATTTTACTGGTGGAGGATGCTATAATTTCTCGTTCTATTTCTGTTACTACACTAGATGAAGCAGGGCATGTGTACTCTGAGTAAAAATGTCTTGTTTTACTGCGGGACTTGAGATGTGTACTAAGTCCTGTTCTGTACTGGTAATGACCTACCGTTCTACCCTTGAGCTGAAGGATAAAAGAGGTACAAGAACTCAATTGGTTTCTTGGATTCTATTAATATGAATTGATAGGGAATATATACTGCTGAATCCCACAAGTCTAGGTGGCATACTTTGTTTTTTTTT